TGCCAAATTCATTAACTATCGATTGGGCGACGGATGAGCTGTGCTGGGCCGACGCTGGAACGTTCACGATAAGTAAATATAGATTTTAATCACGTGAACGCGTCGAAATAGCATCCATTAATCTTAGGAGGAAAATGTCCGATAACGGCGCGATGTGTTTCATTACCGTGGAGCTCGCTACTTTAATAACAAACGGTCTCCCTTGTTCTCAGGTTGTATTGAAATCGACACGAAGAGAGTCACTGTCGTCGCAAATGAACTTACTTATCCATTTGGATTGGCAATTTCTCAAAATCATTACTACTGGACCGACTGGAAAACGTAAGGGAATGAAAAATTGCGCACGCGCGCGTGCAGACAATCCAGAGAATGCTATAAAACGCGAAAGTTTTTATATTACGCTCCTTCCATTGCAGACACAAGATCGAAGTCGGCATGAAGACTAATGGTGAAAGACGCTCTCCGCTGTCTGTTCCGCCAGGTGGAAGTGGAAAACTATACGGTATCGCAGTCGTTCCGGAGTCATGCCCCAGAGGTAAATTTTTCATCCCCCTGGAGATCTATTCCTCAAAATTACGTATATTTCTAAGAAATATATAATTTACTCAACCGCCTTAGCCGAAAGTTTCGCCGAAAACCCGCCCGAATTAGCGCACGGAAAAAATTGTTATGAATGTTACAACAATATTCTCTATGTTTGGAAAAGAAATGCATGTGAATTTAAGTTATATTAATGTTACATGGCATACATCTGTTAAGGTATACTCATCAGTACGGTTCTCTCAAAACCGTATAGTGCTTAGAATAAATAACATTCGGTTAGAATATCTTCATATATGTGATCGCCTCAACAGAAGCATTATTGTTATCTCTCTAATGTGGTCTGTACAACAAACAGTATATGAATGAGAGATATACATAATATAGTTGCACAACATTGAGATTGAAAGTTCAGTTAATTATATGTATAAGTCACTTCCAAAGTATTTTAGTTCCTATAACCCTTTTGAATTGACGGAAAATTATCACAATTATTAATGTTGTTGCAGCAGTAATTTTTTTTCCGTGCGAGAATCAGAAATTTCCCGTGCTTCTCGCTCTACGGAAGAAAATTCGCTAGAGACGAGAATTTAATATCGTTGGAAATTCCATAATTCACGATCGCTTGTTTGCAGTGACAAATGTGTGCCAGTACGACAACGGGAGATGCAACAAGAATCAGCTTTGTCTACCGGACGGCCAGGGCGGCAGAACGTGTGCGTGCGCGGATGACGCGACAGGACCCTGCGCCGACTCCCGTTATCTGTCTTAGATCCGTCTTCGATCTTGCACAGAAATAAAACACAACGCAATGAAGCCCCGCCTCGCGTTCGACATTACGGTAGCTGATAAGAAAGTCCCGCACTGGCGCACACATCCGAGCTAAAATCGCAATAACCATTAGACCCAAGTGTAAATTATAACATTATTCGTAATATTAATTAGCTGTCACCGATAATCTCTCAAGTAACATCTACTTTTGTATCTATCAATCGCGACACGCGATACAAGCTGTACTGCGACTCGATCTTATTTAATAAAAATGAAGGAAACAGCGAGCGAAGCACTGAAATATTCATACAATCAACAATTTCCATCCATTTTTCTCGTCTAAATCTCTTCCGACTTCATCCGCCGGATTAGTTTTATAATTAATTACGTAGAAAGAAAATTAAAATTAAAAGACGCTTATATAAAACTGCTCTACAAAGTTTAAAAATTATTACAATCATAACTCAATAAGAGGTAAAATTCAATTAGTTATGACTACCATATAACTACAACTATTTCATTACATGTATATATAGTACATTATATTGTATATCAATATATATATTTATATATAAAATGTTGTATACAATATACAATATAGCACTTATAAATAACTTTGATATTGCTCTCTGTAAAAAAGGGTAAGAAATACGAAAACCAAACGTAAGTATAATTGTTTTCCTAATTCAATTCCTGCTCAATTTGTTAATTTTCTTTCTTTAAGATTTGTACAATAATAAGTTAGCATGCTGTTATATAAAACAAAAATAAAATCAAACTCTGCTTTCTACAGAAGATATATTTATAACAAAAAGTCTTAAAAAATTAGATGTTTTCGAAGAATATGTTCACTAATGTTCTCAACGTAATGTGTCAGATATTCTCATGCTATTTCTTTTGAAAACGCGATATTTAATCAGGTACGTGTTAATTTAAAGGGCAATACGATGAAAAAGGGCTAAGGAGATAATATAAGAGAAAGAGAGAGAGAGAGAGAAAGAGAAAGAGACGTGCGGCGAGAGAGAGAGAGAGAGAGAGAGAGAAATAAGAGAACGATCTAAAAAATCATCAAAGGGCTTAGTGCTCTTCAATGGATTCGCGCAGAGAGTAACAAGAATCTCTTGGAAATGCATCTCGACAGACTTATCTTCTTGTCGCTCTACAGTACAATGGTAAAAATTCTAAAAATAGATTCGAATCGATGTAAATATTGTAAATCGGAGATTGCAAAGCGGAGATTGCAAAAAATAGGTGCTATTTTATTAACGTTCTCTTTTAAGTAATATTACAAAAATGAATAACATTATATAACGCGCGAGCCAAAGTAAGACGACTTAAAATAAATCGGAAGGTCAACGCGCCACTAGCAAGAAGCAGAAAAGACCATAGTGCTTCATTTTAATGGCATACGCATTTCGGTCCAAATAAAACACCGTGAGGTATTTTCAACACTAGCAATCTGTCAGTGAATTATCTGCTCGTAAGAAAATTATCTAATCGAATGAAAATTAATAAATAAAATTCGAGATTATAAATTTCAAATGTTCCTTTATATCTTCGAGAATCAATGATAGATTTCCAATAACCAATGTAACTTCTTTATCTTGATTGTGTAGCAATTTATATTTTAAAGTTATAATAATACAATTATTCGGTTATATATAATTAGTATTTATTGCTAAACATTTCTTTTGAAAATGCGATGTTTAATTGGTTATGTATATTTATTTAATTGGGTATATTCAATGTAGGTATGTATTAAAAGCGTATTGACCCTTTAAATTCATCTTTGGAAAATTAATTATTTTATTATAAATAATAGATAGAATAGCGTGCAAAATTTTCCCGTATTGATTTTCCAATTAATTAAATACTTAAATAAACAAATTAGCCTTGTTGATTTCACATTAATTCAGGTCTATGTAGATTTACAAAATCAAAAAATCTTTTGTTTTGATTCTTAAATCCATGTATTTTGCGCTTGGATTCCTAGAATTTAAATAACACCTTTTAATAGAGATCATTATATTAAATTCAGGAATAATTATGTTAAGAGCTTCAATATAATAATCAAAAATTTAGAAAATTCTAATATTTTGATCATGAAATTTCTCGACTGTGAGATTAAAATGACGTAATTGCTCTGTAAACGTTTGAATTAATCATCGTGCAGGCAATTGCTATTTGCAATTAACGCAAATAAGCATCGCTTATTGATGCTTGGTGATCGGCAGGCATTGAATGCTTGGGTAGATTGAAAAAAAAACTGGCCGAAGTCTGCCATCGACAGGTGCTCAATCAGACTATCACGCTATAGCTTTTCAATAAGAACGCTCTCGCCCTGGAATGTAATACTCGCCCACATACAATGTCCTATCACCAGATGACTATACTTTAATCACAGCTGACGTATACTCTCGCCCACCAAAGTTTTAAACGATCAAACATTATTTTTTTTCAACGTTCGTCCATGGTACAATAGATTATAAATTTAATTGTATCGAATGAATAGGTTTTATCGTATGAATACCGTATTATCCAACGTTCGTGGGGAAATATTCTATTCAAATTTCCTCTTATCTATTACTGACGTCAAAAGGATTTTTCAGGATTTTGAAAAAAAAGGATGCTGCAAACATTTTTAGTTTTTCCTTAGATTGGTTATTTAACTTCCTTTTAACGTTACAAAGTATAATTTACCACAAATTAACTAAATCACAAACTTAGTCGCAACTTTCATGAAGAAGTTGTGGCTAGCAATTCGTAATATAATTGAAGTGACCTCGTGAAGTTTACTATAAATGAGGTGGAAGAACTTAATAACGAGTTATTAATTTCGCCTCTATCATAATGTCGTAAAATTGACATTCTTATAATTAAAACTCTCACCGTTAATCTTCTCTTGATAATTTTGAGTTTACTAAAACTCATTTTCGATAACTAAAAAGTCAAGAAGAAAAAGAGAAAAGAACATCATTCTCTGTTCGATTGACTTGTAAAGTATATATTTTTTTTTATTTATTTGGCTATGTTGTTAACTGAATTTTTTCATTATAAATATTATCTTGAGGATATTATCAGATACGACCGATTACAGTATTTCATTATGATATTATGAAGAAAAGACTGACAGAAGCAAATGATCAGATTAATATTTTAGATTAACAATAAAAAAAGAATATTGCTGAATAGTCGTATATCAAGTCTATTCTGTTTGTGTAACGTGCAATGTAATATCGTGAAATATACATAAAGAAATTTTAATTGCTTGAAAATGACTACTCCGCATGCGATATTTCAAGTCAAGTTCAGCTTCCCTTTGAGCACATTTTTAGCGTAATCGGCAAGAGGTAAAAAGCAATTATTATCGCGAATGCTTTCTCCGAGGTGGCTTTTATAAGAGTTTCACGCTAGAAGAAAAAGAGTGTGGCCTCAGATCTCAGGAGGATAATGCATCAGCGGAACGGGTGCGACGCGGACGGTGCGGCGGAAGAAGCGCGCAAGCGAGACAGGAGAAACAGCCATCGAGGCCAGACCACGGCCAGTAGTAGTCAGTCGGCGGTCGGAGTCCGCGCGCGACGGATCGTGGGGCGGGATAGGTTCGTACTACTTGCTCACTCCCGATCGGCGGCGGCGGCGGCGGCGGCGCGACGTCGCGATTGACTCCGCGCGCCCGCGAGACAGTAGACACGTGCGTACATTCGTGGTTGGGTGGGTGCGTGCGTGCGTGCGTGCCGTACGCTGTGCAGCGACAGTGAGGAGTGCGCGTTTTCTCCGAAACGCACGATTTTGCGTTTGAACGTGCGTGGTCTTCGTCAGTGCATCAAGCATTTCTCGAGAATCAGGGGATTACGCGAATTCTCTCTCATCCGAACCGGCACTCCCGTATGTATCGCCCATTTGGCAATCGCGCGCGATCGTAATTACCCGTACACGCGCCGCGATTCGAGAGGCACGCTGGTAGCGGCGGTGGAGGTGATCCGGACTGATGCATTTCGGTGGCCCACGCGACAAAAATATCCGCGAAAAATCTCGGCAGCTCGCCAGGCGGCCTCGAGAGCCATACGCCCGTCGTGCTCCGTCGAGGTAGCATTGATAAGATAATCCGGAGACGAGAGATCGGGAGGTATAACGGGCACGTTTGGATGGGCGCGGCGAAACTGAACGCATCTTCGCGCGACGTGTTGTTTCTCGTCACCGCGAAAAGACGGAGTCTAAAAAAATCCGTGAATTTTCTCGGGACGGTAACTGCAGTTTTCCTCGAATGTCAAATCGACATGCGTGCCAAGGGGACGTAATAAACGCGTCCTCGTCGCGTCCGCGTCGCATTGAGGTTCCTCCTTGCGAGAGGACGAATTTTGCGCAAGCACGACGGGGCATAAAGGCGTCCCCGCGTCTGGCGTTTATAGAGCCCCGAGATTCCTCGGAAATTATGCTGCACCCGAATGCAGATCGCGGCAGGAGATACGAAGTGAGCGCATGAATGCACGGCTATTCTTGAAGAACGTTCGCGGGAGAAGCTGTGCGCCACCGTTCTTAACAAAAAGAGTCACACGTCAATCGCTGAAAGGGAATACGTGCGCGTAGAAAGGAAACGTCAAGTATTCCGGGCACGCGTGTATGACAACGAAAACTCGTTCGGCTGATCATTCCTCCGTCATTCTTCGGAATTTTCTCAATTGCATAAGTCGTACGTTTCGAACGTGACGCAAGTCCTGAGGCTTTTCAAATTAAAATGTTTGCGTATCAATCCTATCCCGAGCAATTATTTCCTATCCCGAGTACATTAATATCGCGAATGAATTTAAAGGTGCAAAAAAAGTGACGTGTCCACACACGTGTCGCATTTCTATCGCTGACGTTATATACATGATATTCATGTATTTTATTTAAATAAACACATGTTAACGTGTCCATGGAAAAATTAATAAATTCTTCAATTTTTTAGTACGTGAATGTATCAACTTTTCCGTTTACATGATATACGAGCAACAATAAATCCCGACACTGCTCGCATCTGAAAATTTTATACGTAAGTCTCAGCAATTATAAAAATTCTACTGAATAAAATATAATAACAATTATTCACGGGAAACAAACCTTCATAAATAAATAAATTACTGGAAGTTTAATGTGAGAGAACAATCGAAACGCGCGCTTATACATTTAACGTGACATTACTTTTTCCGTCCAAACGAGTCTTGTTACAAGATTTGTTTAAAACACGCATATTATTTTTCCGTTGCTTTCAAACGCGAGTAAAAACTAGAAAATATAACTGACAAACAGTAAAGCTACAAGAACTGGCCAAAACATGGATGTTTCGTAAAAAAAACTGTTGCTTTTAAAAATACATACGTATACCAAAAATTTTAAGCAAAATTTCTTTGAAATAAAAAAAATGTTTTTATTTTACATTTAATTCATTAATTTTGTGAATTCTTCAAATTTTTTTGATTACAAACGATGTTTATGAATAATAGTGGTGTAATAATTATCATGTATGACTTTAGATTCCTTTTTAAAATATCACATGTGATATCGGACGGGATTTAGAGAGACACCTCATGCGTGCCAAGAATAGAAAACTGACCGAATTACTGCGAGAATCGACGAAATTGCGATAAAATTCGAAATTCGAAAACGTATAGATGGGAATTCGTTTCTGCCAAATGGCTCTTCGCGATCATGCATATTCAATTGCGCACGGAGGAAAAAAAAAGGACGAAGGTTAGAGAAGACACAGAATTCTTTGCAATATGAAGATCTTCTAACGCAAAAACGTTACGAGGGGTCGGTAACTTTTATCTCGAATATTTCCTATGAATATGAAAGCTTTCATCGCAGTCTTCTGATATACATGTTAAAAAATTGATAAGTATAAACCTATGTACATATGAATGTGACTGTCACACACGTGTAGCTGTCTCTTTTTATAATGGATTCGTGCTTAACAACTGTTATATACAATATTTTTTCTCTATTCAAATTATTTTGCTGTTATACAGAAGATTACAAGATATTCCTCACTTTTGTCAGATAATTTCAGGTAGAAAATTATAAAAGATATAAAGATTTTTATAATTTTTTTATTTTATGAGTAGCAGGTATTCTTGACAAAATGATTCACGAAAAAAAAGATATTTAAACAATCGATTTAGTATAGTATTAGATAAAGCCTCGGCGAGAAGAGCTTACATTCATGACACTCTTGTGGCATGAAACGGCGCCGCCGCGCCACTGAATGTCTCGCGATTTTTACAATCCGCTCTGTTGACGCTGTGGCGCGAGCTAAACGACCGTTTTTATTCTCTGCAGAGAAAAAGTGGTTCCACGCCGTGGGAGAGAATAAGGCCGAAAGGGGCGTGAACGTAGGAGAAACCCTCGAGGAATCGTGCACTGTTCACTGTAAAACGCACGTTCGCATTTTTTAATCCGGTAGAATTACGAACGACGCAAAACACACTCGTCGCTAATTCGCTAAACTAAAGTGAACTAGCCTTTAATTCATGATCAAGTTACGTCGACTCGAGCGTCATCTTTTTTTCAGTCGTATTTCGACACTATTATTCGCGGAATGTAACGCGTATTATTCGTAGCACAGCCCTTTCGTCGTCTACGTGCGCGCAAACCGACTCGACGTGACGTCTCGGCTGTGCTATTTGCTTGCCTAGTACATTACGGATACAGGATATTATATATAGATTTAACCCACCACTAGTTGCATGACATAACATACTCTTACAGCTGATTGTCTGGCAGATGTTCATGTTAATCCGTGAATTTCTAACAGATTACGTCTAAATCTACGATGCTTATTAGATTAAAGTAGACAATGGTAAAACATTTTTCCGTAATGCTTTTAGCAGCCGTCACACATTTGCGTCATTAAAAAGCTAAAGAACGGAGGTATGATAATTGTATGAGTAAATTTGCACGCGAAATACTTTTCCGAAATCGAACATCGCTAATCGCAAAGAACATTCCTCGTATAACCCGGGAGGACGGCGGCAATAGGATAACTTGCGAGAAGAGAAGTTCTTATCGGTTTTCCAATTTTACCGTCGTCGCTTCAGTTCTTCAGGACGCAATTGTCGCGAAAATCCATGACGATTGGCAGCGCGACGGGTACATATATACATAAAGAACACATACAGGAACAAATGCAGGATCCCACACACCTATGCAAGATTCTTATAGAGTCCGCCTCCGCGTTACATCTCGTCTTCCGTCTAACTTCTGTCAGCGGCAGAATCGGGAACGACCGCTTCTGCAGTTATACATATACTCACCGTGCCGATACTATCTGGCGGGTGTCAAGTTGTATTTCACTTGTAAATTATTTTTCCCACGAGTCTATCTCTCGACACCTCGTCCGTCCGTCCGTTCGTCCTATCTAACCATCCCGCGCGTTCCCTCCCTCTCCCATTCCATGTAGCAAACGCATCTCTAAAATATTTATGTGCACAGATATCGGGGGCTCCGAGCGCGCGCTGCCCCAATCGCAACCACCGCACGCGAGAGTGCCACGGGTCGATTAATATTGAGCCACCTGGTCAAATCGCGTTCGCATCGGATGAAAAAAAGGAGAAGGGAAAAAAAGAAAAAAATCCGTCATTTTGGAAACGAAAGCGCGCCGGAGGCGTTTCACACAATCGCGCGGTATATACCGCGCGTACGAGTCGCTTCGCTGTGAATTCCCACGAATTTCAGAGATCACGTCGCCGTGGGAAATTAATCGGGCGCGAGTGTGTGGCACAGCTCGATCGACGAAAGTGGCTGTTCTTCGAGTGCTGAAACTCTTCTCCCCGGGCCCGGCGTGCACCGGAACAGCGGGGAATCGGAAGCGTCGACCGCAGCCGAAGGAAGTGGAGAGGCTACGTGCGTGAGCGGACGAACCGGAAAAGCGGCGCGTACGCCCTGCACGTGGAAGCCCGGAGCAGAACGTTAAATGAATGTTGTTACGGCGGGCGCTGGCGATCGCGACGGGAAACTCGAGGGGGCACGGCAGGATCGCTCGATTTAAATTCATAGATGTGCGAGCGAACGGGCCCACAATGGTGGCTCGGCTCCCGCAACAAGTTCTGCTGCTACTCGTACTCGGTGAGTAAAGAAATACCCGCGGGTATTCCAACAAATATGTCACGGGATAATCGTGCTTTCTTTCAACGATATTGGATTCCAATGAGAAAATAAAAAAAAGTTGATGATATATGTATATATGTTGAAATCTCAAACAAACAGAGCTTTGTTAAATGAGAAAATATTGAAAGATAAAAAAGTCTCTTTCGCTACAATGTAATTACAAAAAACTAACTACATACGCATTTGTCATTAACTTTATTACTGCAGGAGGAAATGTGGCAAAAAGAAAAAAGGTTCAGATATTTCTTCAAAATATGAATTAAGTTTGAAAATGAATAAATCCCCATCATTTTGCAATTTATGCAGAAAGGACATGTCTCAAAGCTTTAATAATAATTTACCTAGAATATCTGTATTTTTTTTCCATCTCATTGTTCTCTTTAATTATTTCAATTTGAAATTATTGAAATTAAGTTTGAATGTGGCACAAATTATGAAAAGCTTGTAATATAAAGACATTTGTCATCAATTTGTACGCACATCTCGTAAAAATTCGTTGTTCTTCGAAATTTCATTACGCCACCTTCAGAATAAGAGGCTCATATATCGTCTATATTTAGGCACCAGCCAAGTTAACCAGCCATGTGTACACAGGCGTGTAGGATAAACGTATATAGCGCCAGCTGATTTAATGCTTTCGCCGTTTTCTTTTTTTCTTGGCGACGCCCAGCTGCCCAGCACATACTCGCGCGTCGTATCGAGTTTCGGCGTTGCGACACTTGGGAGGTTTGTCTGATTAAGAAAACGCGAACAAAATGAAAGAGAATAAAAAAATCTCAAATTTTACACAGTTCTTTTTATGTGAATAATTTCTCACAGCTCAAGAAATTCTTTAACATTAAAATACGAATCGTTATTATTCCGTGCGATTTAAAAAAGCTTCGAATGCGTGTCATATGTACAAACGCAATTTCAATGTAATTTAATTTTTGTATGCAATTTGCAATACTGAACGTGAGAAAAATCTTATAAAGAATTTAATTAAATATTCAAATAATTTCTGCAAATGTAATTTAAATGCAACAGTAAATGACGTTACATGAACAATTATCGGGATAAAAATCAGTCTAGTCTGAACGACAAAAAGAAAGAAAGATTTTTACACGGTTGGTGTCATTTAATCACAGCTATTTTTACGCGTGCTTTCATCGAGTTACATCCAAAAAGAATGGAATTTAGATGCGCATAAAACGCAAATACATTCTCGAGATGCCTTATTCCGTTTTTATCTGCCATTCTGTTGCTAGTTTGCTTCGCGAAGAGAGAAAAGCGCTGAACTATATCGCCGTTGCGCGATACGCTGAATCTACCGGACATAAAGTTTTTTTTTGCTTGATCCAAATCTAGATCCGGTATGGACTTAAGACGGGGTACGTTCGACTAATCCGCCTTAAAGGCGGAATAGCGGGGCGAGAAGTGGAAGTTTAATTAAGTCAGATTACAGGGACCGAAATGAATAAAGTTTCATCAAAGAGGATCACGAAAGACACTTCGCTGCGGGAAAGATTCGTCTCGGCTAAAGTAAGATCGAATGTTGCGGAGTGAATAAATAAAGCACCAGGCTACTTACACATATTGCGTGTATGCAATAATTGCGGTCGTTGATTTCTATTTGTGTAAGGCAGATCTTAAATAATTGAATCTGAAATCTTAAATAACGCCTTGAGATACGGCAAAGGTTTTTTTCTAAATTGAAATTGAACTTATCGATTTTACGCCAACGAAATCAATTTGCCATTCGAAAAATTAAATAAATATTAATAAATGCTGCGAAAAATAAAAGTGAAACGCTCTACTATTTTTGTTCAATTAAACAACGTTTGCTAAAGCAATTTAACTATATCGCACAACAGGCACTCAAATACCGTGTTTCCCTTTTTGTAATTACACTCCGTTTTCACATAGAAAATACGGAACTTCAGAGTAATTTCGACGAATGTGACAATACGTTTTGGTGTATATATGTTAAAAAATTCTGTCCAATTTCACGAATCGGTTCGCACAGTCGCTCATGCACGTACGGCATTTTTTTCCCGCGGTCGATCGATAACATCGGGCAAACGCCGATAGAGAGCCCTTCTCGTTGATCACGTAGTGCGTCAGATACTACCAGTTGCATCGTTAATTCACAGAGATACGCTCGGCGGGCATACCGCAATTTCCCGGCGTGCAGTTACAGACAGCGATCGACTTTGTCCAATTTACAGATTTTCTTGGCACTTAGCAGAATCAAATCGAACAATATAGTCGCATATTATTCACCTAATTCGTCTCAAAGCAATCAAACGCTCCGTAACGTCGATCGAAAATGGTCGTTATATGACCAGTAATTGAATCCAAATACGAGCATGCATCGAAATTGGAGCGCAGAAACTGCATGCGTTACTCACCAATATGAACGATATTCATTGATGACGGAAATTGCAAATGTAATAATCCAAAATTAAAGGCAAAATTTACGAGGTTTACCGTTAATTATATATATATAATTTAGCATTGACATAAATTTTTATATTATATCGAAAACCGATGCGATTTTGATTATTTCTATCAAGAAAAATTAGATTTTTCGCAAATTTCTGGAAATTTTATTCTTTTATTGATATTACATGAATACAAATTCTCGAAGATATTAAATTAAAAATCGGTGAAAAATTTGTAAAAAAAAGTAAAATTTTCGCTAAAGAAAAACGAAGATCGCACTTGACATCGGCGTTCTTTCAGTACGATCTATCGGGTTGTTTGTGGAAGCGTAACGGAAATATTGATGAGCTCTTTGTTGATCACGGGTATCGCTGCCACGCGATACAAGCTGCATCACTGATTCGCGGCTAACATTCAATTGCGGCTTACTATGCCACTCCTGCAATTTCAATCGAACGATTAACATTGGCGCGCCTCTGCCACGGTAATTAAACGTCATTTAATATATATATACATATATATATATATATATATGTTTCACAATTTAACGACGCGTAAATAATAAGCATCAGTTGTCGGGAAAAATTATCGTTTTTTCTCGTCGAAGTGATTTGATAGGCGTAAAAAATGCAGATCAACAAACGGCGTGCTTATATCCGATTGTCCATTAACGTGATTGGCGTGCAACGCATCGCATCGCAGATTGCACTCTACTCTACTGTGCATTGCGTGTATTGCCAATGGCAATGTTACAACGAGATTCTCGTCAAGCCATATAACGTTTGTCGATCGCACTCAAATCAATTTCGAGAAATTTTTGATAAATTTCGCAGCCTTGCGCTATTTTGTGTCAAGGGCAACAATTATCTCTAATTAATTATATCATACATGTATTTGTTTGGTTAAATAATTGAATCTTTGTCTCCGTTTGTTAATTAATCAACGAATATCATAATTACAGTTGAATACCGAAATTGCAAGGGCCAGTAATATTATTGTAAATATTATAAAATAATAATCTTGTATTTTGTGATAACAGACGTGGAAAATGAAATATGAAGAAAAAAATGTCACGTGAGAGATTGTAGAGAAGATATTGCAATTGTCTAAAGGATTCAAAAAATTACATTCTTAGAGAAGTCGGTCTACAAAGCGCCAGAGTTTCTGATTCGGCGACAGGTCCATTGTACATATTTGCAATCGTACACCTTTCTCCTGTGGTATTCCGTGTAAACACATTATACCCACGGTTTTGTTTCGCTCTACTATTTCCATTTGGTAAAGAAAGTACGATATGAAGTCTCGCAGGTAGAAAATGTAAAACTGAGTTCTCGTTTCGTAAAGGGAAAAGCGTTCAATTTACATTCACAAACAACAAGAGACGCTTGATACATCTATCATCGTATTCAAATTTTCCTTTCGCCTCTCGCGAGTCCCCTACCTTGCGAACAGGCGTAACTGCGCAAAGTTTGCTGCGAATGTATTTCTTTAGTTGACAGATTAACAAGATGTTTTTCCATTTGTGTTGTGTGGTCCTTCATCATTTAAAAAAATTCTCGAAATAATATATTTCCAACATCATCGATCTCAATTTCTAAGAAAAATGATACATCTCGGTCAATACAGTTTCAATCTTCAGTGCTGTCGCAACGTAATTTATTATTAAAAATCTTATGTTATGTGAAAGCTTCAATCTAATTTTTTAATGTCTGTAACATTTGATAAATTACATAATTCAAAGTTTGAAAGATTAATAACAAAATTGTTACAATTGTGACATAAAGTAGTCAAATAAATCATGAGTCAGTAAAATTCAAATTATAATTACGAGTATTATTCAGTAATATCAATTAACAATGTAGATAATATTTTCATTAAAATATCGAACAAAAATTGAGTTTATTAATTGCTTTATATGTACAAATTAATGGCACAAATTTTTTGCTATCATATATTTCAGATAATTTTAAAATTTTTATAATGTCATGTAATACGATTAACGGTTGTTTAAATTATTCCGTTTATAACGACACAGGTAAAAAATTACAGACGAGAAATGTTGCATTGAAAAGGAATCGCGAATCACTAATTAAAAGAAGATACTCAGAAATTGCATTTCTCAATACCGTAAATAATCGGATTGAAATATAGTTGAATTTAATAATTCTACTTTTATTAAAGACGAATGGATCTGTAAAATAACAAGAAAACCGATATTAATTAAAAGTTAAGTCGCGTAATAAACTGGAATTCTCAACAGTGAAAAGTACTCTTCTTTAAATTCATTTGCCGGCGAGAAGAAAATTTCTCAGAGAATTATAAAATTATCGTGTATGAGATGTCATGTGAGAACGTCATGTTCTCATTTAACTTACAAAACTTCTTGAATATTATAGTTTATCATGTCAATCTCCGCAATGTTACCCACGATAAGTAAATATGTTATACGTAATATACATACATAATGCTGAGAAATGGAAGGAGAGAAAGAGAGAAAGAGAAAGAGAAAGAGAAAAAGAGAGAGAGAGAGAGAG